GTAATCTCGTCCAGGTCACGGATTTCTACCATCGTCTCGTGGGTTAGGGCTCTGATCTGTGCCTGGTCCCCTAGAAGCCTACCTATTTCGCTCTTGAGTTCGCCCGTGTCCTTCATTTGCGTCATTTGACATGTGTGTAAACAATACAATCGGTCTCAAATAGAGTCCTACCGATTAATCGGCATCGGCTAGTATCGGCCAAAATTATCGTCATCGGAATCGGCCGTTTTTTAGCCGATTCGTTTTGCTTTTCCACAATTTTAACAAATGAATGGTCGCCGCGACAATTTTCTAAGATCAAGTTTCTTTAACTTTAACGATGTAAATGTACAATGTAATATTTTACACTTTAGAGAAAGTTTCTTAAATACTACTGTACCAAGAAGTAGAAAACCAAATCAAATGAGCTTATGTATGTGCATCATTAAACACATTTTCTTTTTATGTATTTCTGCAAAATTATAATCTTGTCGCTTACAACGTTATTCGCGGCGACCATTCAAATGTTCATTAAAATTTTAAACTGTTTAATCAGATTTTTTTAGAATTTTTTTGAGTGCGCGGTTTTTTAAATTTTAATATAATAAAGTGTAAGTTTGAAGACGCAAGGTATGTGTTGCTTTTTGATAATTTTTTGTTCACACATTCGTTTAAACAAAGTATGTTCGACATTTTTTTGCATGCAGCAAATCCGCAACACCTTCCACAAAAAAATTTCCAAAAATCTATAGTAAGTCCTAGTTACTTAAAATTTGCACTTCGTTAAAATAAAATTGAATGGGCTGCAAAACTGCATACTCAGAATACTTAAAGAAAAATTTTGCAATTTTTACTAACATGGTTTTTGTTAGATAACGAGCTACACTTTCATAAAAAATAAGAAACATTAAATAAACGAAAGGGAAATAGCCAAAGAATGCTAAAATGTCGTTACTGTAAGTATTGTTACGGTTATCCTTGAATTAATCGCTGAATTCCTAAAGGCCATTTTCTGAAGTAACCTTTAACTTTAAAGGTCACTTTATATTTAAAGATTGGATTAAAGCGATGTCTAAAGTTGAGCATTTCTATTATCGGTTTTTGACGTATGTATGTTTCTAGGTTGTAAACCATGAAAAATAGCTACTCATAAAAATACAATCGCCGTTCGGAGTCGGCGTAAAACTGTAGGTCCCTCCACTTTGTGTGACAACATCACACGCGCACGCCACAAATCGGAGGAGAAGCTCGGCCAAACACTAACATATGTGTAAGCGCCAATCTATTATAAAGACACTTTGGCATGGATTTTTATTTTTAAGTTTCTTAATTTGTGGGTTATTGAAAGACTGAAAAATATGACTGGACGTACATATGTAAAAGCAAAGCGTTAGGCATTTCTTTACACGACATACATATAAATATGTGCGTACACATACATGTGCGAACATTTATGACAAAGAAGAGAGCGTGCAAATTAGGGTGGTCCAAAAACGGTAAATTCAGAATTGTAATGCTTTGTATACCCCTCTTTTTTTAATTTGAAATCAAAAAATATTTAGAGGTCGCTCAAAGCGCTCAAAGTTTTCCATATATCTTTATATGGGAAAAATAAAATTTTTCGTAGAAATGGTATATATTCCTGAAACCCAATATTTTTCGATCGGAAAACTCTGGTTCTCTTCAGGAGGCTTTCAATAATAATACCCAATTGTTTATTTAACCATTTCTTAAAACTAACGATTTTTTATTGGTCACCCCATTGCATTTTTCGGGGGTTTTGTGGGTTTTTGGCTGACCTATAAATTATAGTTGTGATGAAAAAATGGTTAAATAAACAATTGGATATTATTATTGGGAATCTCCTGCAGATAAACAGAGTTTTCTGGTAGAAAAATATTGATTTTTAACTATTCTATACCATATCTACGAAAAGTGGCTTTTCCCCATATAAAATACATGGAAAACTTTGGGCGCTTTGAGCGACCTCTAGCTTTTATTTAACATGTACAATCAAAGGAATAAAATAAAGTAGTGTAACAAAAGATTTTTAGCAAGAAAATTTTGTCAAAACTGCACTAAAATTAATAAATTTGGGGGTTAAAACCCCGCCCCCCTCAAGTCAAAGAATAATATTTCACTAATATGGGTATAGAAAAAAGGCTCTTTAGAAGAAAGTATGCGTAATAAAGTTTCAAAACACGAATTTTTAAAATCATATATTAAATTTTTCGCTTTATTTATAAAACATTTTGATAATTTTAAACACATTAAATTTTTCTTTTTACTTATAAATCAATGAAACGAAGAATTTTCAAATTTTTTTTTTGAAAAATTCTTCTAGAACTTCGTCAACTGAAAAATTTCTATCTTTGTGAATATTCATAGATGCTAGACCGTTCAGCCTTTCTTGACATGTTGTATTTCTCAAGTAGGTTTTAATTCTTTTCAGGCATGAAAAGCTTCGTTCAGGTGTGGCTATTGAAACGGGCAAAAGTGCCAATATACGTAAGATCTTAAAAACATTCCCAAAAGACGTTCTATTAGCTACTTGTAATGCTTCGAGAGCATTTCGAAAATGTTCGTGTGAAACTCGTTTTTTCCACATTTTTACCTCCAGCAGAAAGTTTTGTTTCGAGCAGTCGATTACTTTTTCATAGAAAGCAAACAATTCTTCAGTTTTTTTTCGTTAAAATCATACTTTGAAAACAAAACACTAAAATTATTTAAAACTGATTTATGGTTTAGGAACCGGCTTTTCAAATGAGCAATATATGTATCAAGGAAGGGAATGTAAAAAGCAATGCGATAGTATGCCTCGGAGTCTCCGGTTTTCACATTAAGGCGATTCTTTTGGTGACTGCTGTACCTAGGTTGGTTCATACTTCTACGTGTTCGAAAAGCAAATCAAAGTTTTTTCTGCATCTTGTCGCATTTCTTCAAATTCCTTTAAAGCGTCGTCGGCTAAGCTCATTGCTTCTGCAAGATCTTCATCAGGTACTTGTAATTGCCGGCTAGCAAAGCAACAACAATTTATAAAAAAGCAAATGCTTGGCTGTTGTCGCGGTGCTAACAGTTTTTCAAACCCTGATAATTTCTATAGATATTCGCACGATACAAACAATTTTTATGGTATTTTCCCCGTGACAAATAAACAGTTTTTGACAATGGAAGAAATACAACTTCGAAAGTCTTGTTTAAACGATTTTTCATTTTGCTACGTTAGAGCCGTTGCCGAGAAACTTATGGATAGATATACATATACACGAAAATCGCTCGTTTAAGGTAATTGGAATAAGGGCAAAATTTCCCGCAAACCCACCCATTTTATTCATTTCAGTGCAGCTTTGACAAAATTTTCTTGCTAAAAAATCTTTTGTTACACTACTTTATTTTATTCCTTTGATTGTACATGTTAAATGGAAGCTTGTTTTAAAAAATATTGTACGATGGAAAAAATGGCGGAAAGTTTGCAACTGTTGACCTGAGCGGAACTACTCAACTGTGCGTTTCTAGGCCAAACAGTCTATAATCAGAAACAAGTCGGTGTGTTATTTAATTTAAGCATTCAGATCAAGTACAAACCACACACCCGGTAGGTGCTCTACAGAAGAATTCGTATAGAAATATCCCAAGATTAACAGCTGATTTATTCAAACTAATTTCCGGTATTTTATCTTACCAAGGAATTCACAATATAATCTATCATACCACTGCCTAAAACTATCCTACATAGTTGCGCCGGCAAATTACGCTCTGCTATCACTAGTAGTAGTGAACACGCTGTAAAGAAACTGTTAAGCAGGGATCGCACGATTTGTACATTTGTACAGATTTGTACATTTTGGCAGTCACAGAGCGGTGTTGTCTAGAAATAATGAGTTAAGCTC